TCCATTGTATGTTTATGCCAGTCCTTTGCCGCATGGATCTTTATTAGGCAGGGCTATAAATTTACTTGAACAAATATAAATGTAAGCCTCTGAGACTTCTGTGCCAGTTACAAGGCATGTTCTCCATCACAGCTGACCCTTGGCAGCACGCTAAGTTCCATCCCGTTGGATAGATCATCTGAAGATCTATACTGTAGGCAATGCCAAACCCCTTACTAAAAATACCCCAAACAATATTTACATTTTAATGGACTAATAGTTTCTATAGGTGTTTTCTTAAGTAACACCAGAACCTTTTTGATGTATTGCTCTTAAGCATGGCATCTCCAGAGCTCTCTTTAATAAATATCTCCATTTTTTTCTAAACCCTGTTATAATAAACGCAGATGTTGGATGACATTTTTCCTGGTGACTCACACATTAAAATTAACCTTGAACTGTTTACATGCTCAATCACTGCATTCTCTTCTCCTCTCTGCCCCCTTCTCCCGCCCGAGCATGTGTACATTACAGGAATTCTGGCTCTGTATCAATTTTTGTTTTGTTGATTAAAAAAAATTTCCCTGCCTGGAGTACACATCTACTTGAGTGAAAGAACACACAGTACTGGCCTTTTGAAATTGGCAGGCAGTGTACTGTTCCCTGACTGATAAGAGGTACTGTAAATAAAACTGTACGGCATAGCCTGTTGTAAAATGCCCTATGTCTGTACTTATTGTTCTGACAGCTTATGCTTTTTTTGGGTATGCTGTTTTGGTACACTCTGTACTTCCTTATGTAACCAAGCATGCATATCTCATCAGAACATTCAAGATGTTTATTTTAAAATCTCAAGGAATTTTTCAAACCCTCCATTAGATGCTGGCAAGCTCTTTATTTTCTTGTTTTGCATTTGTAATATTAGTCTTTGAGATTTCTCCCCCCCCCCCTTTCTCATTCCAGTTGCATCTCACAATTTTTGTTGGTGGGTTTTTGGGTGGAATATGGGGGTTAGCAGTAGCCATACCCCAGGCATGTCCAAGGACATGCGCCAACTTCTCCCAGATGGGGAGCATTTTTCTGTTGCTTTGCAAAAACTGCCTACTGAGCCTGGAAAAATGAATAAGATTTTTCTAGTGTTGCCTGTTTCCCATCTTGTCTTGATGGTTATCATTTCCTTTGAAGATGGGGTGGTGGTGCTTGGCTTGTTTGCTTCTCCAGCACAACAAGACTCTGCAGTCAGGCTTGGGTAGCATCACAGCCTTGTGGATTGGTTTGTGTCCTGGTCACACAGCATTGTAGCGGTCCCGGTCAGATCTCTTTGGCACATACAGTGTCCTGACTCACCTGCTCCTGACCCTTGATAAACATCTTGAGACTAAAGAAGGACCTACCCAATCAGGAAACTTCATCTTCCACATGGGCAAAAGACACAAAACTGCTACACTTGGGTCAGGGAATGCTGCAAATACAGCAGGTTCACAGCCATGAGCAGTGAACATCAAGGTTTTAATGGTGTCCAGGACAAGCAGAAAACGACTTGAAGGTGTTTAAGTGATGACCTATTTACTGTGCTGTCTTAGCTGATGTGGTACGTTGGTGAAACTTGCTGCTGTATCGGGTTGATGTAACTTCCGGGGTAGTGCCTCCCATTGGGGGTTTGAAGGAGTTTGACACATCTGAGTAGTTTTGTTGCCCCAGTGACTGTTTACTGTACATTATGTGCAGCTGGTAAAATTTCCAGAAGTGCCTATGTAACTCGGGGGCTTAACTCCCATTGACGTGAGTCATGTAAAGTGGTTTTGAAATTTTTTGCCCATTATTAACCAAACAAATCTGTATTCTAGGTACAAGTTAATACATGCTTCTTACTACAGATGTTTCTGAAGGCTTTGGCCAAACTTTCCTTTCATTGCACGTTGTTCAGTGGCTTCATACTTCAGGATACCTTGGCCTATCCATTGTTCACCGATTGCTTTCCCAAGAGTTTATAGAACTGGGCTGTATTAATTTAAACCTGGACAGTGCAGTGCAATTGCTTATCAAAGCTTCTTTTATTTTAATAAAGAACAGCACAGAAACCTAACAAGGTGTTCTGTATATCATAGGCTCCAGGGAAGTTAGAGACTGAAAGTGTCTATTAGCCCAAAGAGTATGTCCTTCCCTTCGAGTTCAGGATATAATCCTCCAATGTAGGTAGCCAATACTAAACTGATACACCACTTGATTGACGCTGGAAGGCAGGGCTGCATTGCTAACAATGCGTGTCTGTATTTGTAAGCTAGGGCAAACTATTATATCTGATCAAATTAATGGCCTGATTTTCAGAGTTGCTGAGCATTCCTGAACTACCATTGAGTTGAGTGGCTGTCTGGGGTTTTGAGCCCCTCCGAGAATCGGGCTGTTAAAGCCCTACTATACATCTGCATGCATGTTTTCATTTTTGGCACGCCATCCGCTCAAACTGACTTTCTGCCTACTGCATGCATCCTTTTATCAATTTTCTAGGTATGGCAGGAAGTTGTCCCAGACTGCCCCAAACTTGTTAGCATTCTTCCTCCTGTCATATATTGCCGCTTCTAATGCAGTGCGGCCAGCCAGAAGAGCAGAGCAAGTACAGAAGTGAGTCATTTCAGACATGCTGTATTTGATGTGCAGGAACCCAAAAGTGTATCTATCTTCTTTAAAAAAAAAAAAAAAAAAAAAAAAAAACTGCCACAAATTAGCATATGCTTGGGGTTAAATGTGGACTACACACTTTTTTGTGTGCGCGCGCTGTTTTAGGAAAAAGTAAATGGCTTGAGAACGAGCTGGCATTTGTCTGCAATCAGACTGGTCTACCCGAAGTCTCAGAGATGTCAGCCTTTGGCTATTCGGTGCATGTGCAGTACCAATAGGAACTGTACTGGCCTTTTGGGTCAATGATCCGGGAACAAAACATTCTCTGGGTAATCTCTGGCATGACAGACTGTAATAGAACTGACCTTTCTAATTATGTTGGTAATAGAGCTGTGTTTGTTATTAAAGCAGTACTTTGTTAGTGGAGGAAAGGGGCAGCTGGCATCCTATCCTTGCTTGTTCCCTTTATCTCCTTCCTCTTTGAACTAGGGTAGCGTAAGCTTGGCTGGAAGTCAAGTTGGTCACATCTATATTGTATTCAGGTCCTGTCCCATAAAGAAGCTCTTAAGAAATAATCCGCCTGAATAAAAATATATACACTTAAAAAAAATTGCATGTAGCTGAAAGAAGCAAGTGCCTATTAATGGCTTTCTAAATGTGTAACCGGCTATATGATGTCACTGGAGTGCCTTTTTTAAGGGAACAGCCATGTGGTTTATGCACAGTTGAGTTGTTTTGAATGCAAACTTGACATCATACTGAAGGCAGCAGAGAACAACATATGCACAGTAAACAGGCAGACTGTCTTATTGATTAACAGATGAGACCTCTATTATCGATCAAAGCTTGGCGAGAAAATTTATCACTTTTAATTTCACTGCTGCCAAATATTTCTGCCTGTGAGCCAGCCGTTACTAAGACAATTTAAAGGCAAAGGAATTCTCTCTTTAATGGATCTCATGGCACCTCTGTCTTTCTGTACCTGTTCTGTCTGCACCTTTCTCTAAAGCCCTGTATTTTTGAGGGGGGCAGTGAAGTACTTTTCTTTGTATTAAATTTGGAGGGACGGGATGAGGATGAGAAATGCCTTCTGAATTCCTGGAAATAAGCCACATAGCATTTTGGTGTCTCATGATGGGAACGCTTTTAAATGTAGCCGGGGAAGCTATGTAGCTAAGGTATAAACAACAAGTGAGGTAGCTGGCTTTTTTCCCCTGCATCATACCAGCTTGAAGGTTACCTTGTCATACTCTAATCATTGTTTAGTTTTCTTACAGCAGATGAATCAAACTTCAAAATCTAACAAATGCGTTCACAGCTTTGTCCTGGCAGCATATGCTTAGAAGATTGTGTATATTGTTAATCTATTTTTATCTGTAAGTTACTTATCTGCTGTTAGACATCCTGTTTTTTTCTCATTATAACTAGAGCCTCTGACCCACTATATGCAGTGCATGTTGATAGCAATTTTCTAAGAATTCCCACAAATACCACATCTCTCTAATAGTCAGAGAAATATCTGTGCCTTTCACTAAATTGTGTTGTTTCTGCCACATTTCTTATCAGATGCTGCTGCGTTCTTTCCTTCCTCTCTTCTTTAGATACTGGTAATAACTGCTACAATTGGCAGAGAGTGCAGGAAAACCAATTAAAATTAGATCAGTTACAACTCTGGTGAAAGTCACTGATGTCTAATGATTTTTTTAAACAAATATCTAATTTGTTGGAAAGCAGCTCTTTGATTTTAAAGAGCAATGTAATATTAATAGTGTATTTTATTATTAGGCTGTTTCTCTGAGCTACTACAACCGTATGTTTTCTTTTGTTGTGTTTATTCTTTTGGTGCTGCAGAAGACCCACTGCTCCTGGATAAATTGGGATCTATGGGTTATCTTATTAGGTCCAAAATATTTGATCCTTCTACTGAATGGATTTCCTGTTCTACAAAGCGAACACTTCCTCCCTTTTTGGGAATTATCCTAGTTTGTATCACTTTCACAATGATAGCACAAAGTGGTGCCATAGAGAATTGCTCTATCCTGTCCTTGAGCATGGATAATTGGTATTGCATTATCAAATACTGATTGGAATACTGCTTTAGTTAGCAATGTTGGATATAGACTTGTTTAACTTGTTCTGGTTTGGCTGATTACAAACAAAATCCACATGAATTGCAGTGCTCTGAAGAGTCTGACACGGTTTTACTTGGCACAGAGACTCTTACCTTAAAGTTGTCTGTGTCTGTCTTTCCTTCCTGCTGTACATTAAATGGTCCCTGTTGCAATATCTTCTCTGACAAAGATGTTTACAGATTGTATTTTCTTTGGATCATCTGAAGCCATATATTGTGCCTGGGTATCTTCATAATATGCTCTTTCTTTATTTTTTTCCCTCCTCTCTAGCGGGTGCCAAAGCGTTTGTCTGTGATCAGTGTGGTGCACAGTTCTCTAAAGAAGATGCCCTGGAGGCGCACAGACAGACACACACCGGTATGTTGACTTTTTTTTAAATACATCCTCAAAAAAACATTGTTGATCTGCACAACGACACCTGGTTGAGCAAGCAAAACTTTCCAGGAATCCTGGAGAGAGCCAGACAGAGGAATAAATGATACAATTTGCGTGGTGTTCACCTGTCAGTTAGCTCCAACTGGAGATAGCAGGTCATACCCTCCCTCCCCAGGTTCACATACAGCTTGATACAGCAAGATTTTTTCCTTGTCAAAAAAATTTTCTTAACTCTCAGAACTATTCCCAAAAGCCCTCTTCTATCAAAAGCCAAAATCACAGTTCTTTCTACCAAGAGAAAAGAGAGTGCTTTCTTGGGGGGGGGAGGGTGAACATTTCCCCCCCCCCTTTGTCTTTTCCCGTTCAGTTTCTAACAGGTGATCCTTGCAAAGGGGAGGGACAGGAGCCCCATTTCTGAAGCATGCTCAAACTTCTTCTGTAGAAGACTGTGCAGAATACATAGGATTGGAAGGATTAGCTTTTTTTCGGTAAATGTTGATTTCACTGCACGTGCACATGCACAAACCAGCAAAAAAATAAAAAATCCCTTGGTAGTAATCAAAATTTAGAAATAGGCAAAGTAAGAAATCTTGCTGAGAACTTACTCGAGTCCCACTTGAATGTGTACAAAACACGTCGTAATGAATGCTGCTAAAGCAGGTATTTACACTTCGGCTAAAACAGCCGGCTTATAAAGCTTTAATTGTTTGAATCTCAATGTCTACTGTCATTAAATAATTGTCTGGTCCCCCATAATTTCCCACAACTGTTGAAATTTAAATAGACAAAATATTTAAAATAAACATTGATATTATCCATCAATATTATGGGGGAAAAACCCTGAATTCTGCCAAGCCAAAAAATAAACAGGACCTAGGCCTGCCCTGGTTACGCTAGTCATGAGGTGGAGATGAAGTGACCTGACTACCTTCTATGAAATGGCTCAGCAGGGGAACTACAAGTTTACTCTTGGTCCCTATTGGGAAATATTGCCCATGTGTCTTGTGTATCATTCAAATACTGTTCTGGAACACTGAGAAATGTTTTTCCAGGACAATACAGGCTGCTTCTCTTTTTTAGTTACCCAGGTCAGAGCAGGGCAGTGGGGGTGGGTGGGATTGCCTCTATCTATTACCCGCAAGAGGTTTCACTCCCGTCTGATAACTCCCGGATCTGAGTGTTGTCTTCCTCTTGCATGCAGGGCTTTGCTTTCTAGGCACAGCCCTCTCTGCTTTGGATTTCGTTTCAGCGCCTAGGACCCTGTTTGGCTCTAAAGAGGTGAGGCGTTGAAAGGACAAGGTTTTAACTAAACGATTGCTCTTAACTATTTTGGCTTCCTTTAACTCAAGTCTAAAGTCAGTTTGACAACAAGGCATTTAGTTGAAGTCTCGTTGCCTGAGAAGACTTAAAACTAAGCCGAATGAAACCCTAGATATCATGCTGCAGGGAACAATCAAACATTGGCTAAGGCAGGGAAATGGATTGACTATATGGGGCTTTCTAGCATCTCTAGTTTATATAAGCCACTAACAGTTCTTTAGGAGTTCTTACCCAATGTTTCTTTTCTCAGTGCCCTCTGATGGTGGGGGGACAGTATGGTTCTGCTGGATATTTCTGAATATATGTGTAGTATGACATTGCACCTGCATTTTCACCACAATGGCCATTCTGGGAAACATTTAGGAGAAGAACCAGCTGTCTGACTTGTGGGATTTGGCTGAGACTTGCAGTGAGATCTCCTATTTCATTACAAAATCTACAAAAATGAATTTTCCAAGGCTAAACCAATGTTTTTCCCCCATTTCTTACTTTGAAAGCTTTCTCTCCTTGTACTAAATTCCACATACAGCAGTTGAAAGCAGAAAGCTCAGAGGTCTTTCTGGATGAAACAGAAAAATCTGGTGAAGGACTAATATTTCCTGTCTCTCCGCTAAGCTAAATGTGTTCTGAAAGATCAGATCGTATTATCAGCTGTGACCTGAAACCTTAGTGTAGAAAAGGGTTGGCGGCTACACACGCTGGATGTGAAATGATCTGTCAAAATGTTACTCGGTGCTCGGTTATCAAAAATCTAAGATGGTTTGATTGGAATCTAAGAGAAGGAGTCTCGGGATGCCGTTGCCAGGGAGTTAAAACCTCTTGTATTACAGAAGTTGAGTTGGGGAGCTTTCAGTCTTTTACATGATAGCACATCCTGCCCCAGAGCTGTTGTCCTATTCCATGAAGAACATGTTGATAAATCCATTATAGGGTCATGTATACCAGCCATGGAAAGGCTCATTCACATAAATAGTGACCTGTAGTGGCTGCATCTTGCCGAGCTGGGTTTTACATGCTTGTTGGTTTCCCCTAAAATGATTTAACTGCACACTTACCCTCCTCCCCCAGCTCAAAGATGGTTGAGAAGAACCAGAGAAATGGGAATAATGGTGTCCTTGGTAGATGTTTATTCTTGCAAGTTCTATGTATCTGTTTGGAATATCGCTCTCCTTTAAAAAGAAAATGAAGGATAGAGTGGTGGTGTCACCATGTTGGTGCCAGGATATTAGAGAGAGAGAGAGGGAGAGGGTGAGTGAGGTAATAATTTTTTATTGGACCAACTTCTCTTGGAGAAGGAGGCATGCTTTGTGCTTACACAGAGCTCTTCTCCAGGTCTGGGAAAGGTACTCAAAGTGTCACAGTAGCTGAAGAAGAGCTATGTGAAGCTTGTCTCTTTCAACAACCAAAGTTGGTCCAATAAAAGTTATGACCTCACCCACGTTGTCTCTAACAAAGGATGGAGACATTCTCATTTAGGGCTTGTCTGAGCGTGTGCTGCTCAGAGGTGTTGCCACCACCAGAGAAGTGGAAACTGACAGGAAGCACTTATTAACTGCGTCAACATTTGTCTTGCCGAACTTTCTCATCTGCTAGCAAAAAACAAACCAAGAGGTGTTGAGGGTGTTGCAGTAACTCACGAGAAAGGACACCATTATTTTTTCCTGTTGGGTGATGGCTAGTAATGCCCTTATCATTTCAGGGCTTTGAATACAGGGGTTGAAATAAATGCTGTTGCTCAGTTACATTTCTTAGTCACTGATTGCTCTCTCTCTTTAACAAACAATTTATTTCTGTTTTGTTGAAATTGGACATTCACCAGTTCGTTTTTGTTTTTCAATGGTTGGTTCACTGTTTTTTATCATGATTACGGTATGAATCCAAAATTCAGATGAAATATTCAGCAAGAAGATTTGGAGGAAATCTGACCATCTCCATAATAAATCATCAGCTTTTAAGATGAGTAAAGTTTTTTCAAAAATACTTACGTGCTATTTTCAAAAGTGTTTTAGGAGTCTGACTCAAAGTCAATGGGACTAGTACTCCTAAATCATTTAGGCACTTCAGAAGATCCTCACTCTGAATTGACAGATCAGTGCCCTTTTTCATCCTATTTATGTGAATAATTAATTGTTCTTTATCTTGACGCTATAGAGGTCATGTTTCATTGGCATAGGACACGTGTAGTTGATGTCAAGATGTTGACTGGATCATCACCATAGACTGAGTGCCTAGTCCCGCATTGCAGAAGAGACTCTTTGATGTCTGACTTAAGAATATATCCAAAAGAGAGAGAACCAGGTTCTTAGAGGGCTTGGTCTGTGGTTGAAGAACTAAAGAGCAAAGCTGGGGCTCTTTGTGCCTTTGAGTGCAGTGGTCCCTGAGATGGAAGTTCCTGTGAGTGGCGTCTAGATGGGAGCTCCTAATTCTTTCCCTCGTGTGAGTGAGTCTTGTGGGACTCTTCGCTGAGGTGCTCTTCCCCACATATAGGCTTATAAACCCAGAGCGAGTCCAAAAGCTAATGGCTTTTCTCTTCCCTTTCCTTTCCCCACAGTGGCCAGCCATTGTATCTCCCTCTTACGTCTATACTTCCTTTTCCTGCCAGACTGACCACAGGCTTGATAGGTGGCTGATGCGGGGGATGAATCCCTTGGAGTTGTTTCTTTTGCTCTTTGTTCTGAAACACTTGGAAACAGAGTGGCTCCAAGACAAAATTACGGCCTGCCGTTGAGTGATGACACCTAGTGGAGATGGGGAGCATGGCGAGATGCAGGGGTTTATGGGAGTTGTGCGTGGCTGTAGGTGGTGGTTGCTTAGTGATCTGGCCATTGACTTGTTTAGCTATATGCCCTGAACGCTTGTTGCTACCAATAGATACTTGGTACTTTTATTGCAAGGTCTACTGAAACTGTGCTAATAACTCTGAACTCTCCTTTTTTTTTTTTTTGGTCAGAGTGCTTTAGTTTTATTGTTAATAAATTGCCTGTTTTAATATGGAGCTTTGATGGCTCTGGCAAATCTGTATATTCAAAAACAGAATCCATCTGCTATCTCAAAGCACAAGCTGAGTACGTAGTGATTCTAACTAGCACACGACGTTCAAGCAAAGGCAAGGAAAGAACCATTTATGCATATTGAGTCATTTTTGAACCATTGAAGGGTACGGTAGATTAACAAACAGTAATGTTTATATGGCAGTGTTGTCTTAATTCCCTTCCAGCTCAGTTTGGTTTGTAAACGCACAATACACCAAACGGATCTATCAAAATAAATAGTGGTGGCATGCAATGATGCATGCCATGTGTGGTTAAGGTTTTGTTGCATGCATTGCTCAGCACAAAGGATGAGGATGTAGAGAATGGTATTTCCAATTCATACATAAGTTAACTTGACCATTTATTTCCTATCTAAATAATTTAGTGGTGGGTGAAATGATGGTAGCTCTACCAAAAAGCAAACGGTTTTTATCATGTTTCCTTTTTGTTGTTGTGCTTTTGCAGGTTGGGTACAGTAATAGGTAAATGCAGGGAACTCCTTGTGCGTTGTATATTGAGACAAATACATAGTGCAAACACTGTAGTTTCTAGAATGCTTCTGTTAAAGAGCATTGAAGAGTTAACAGCTAGGCAGCCTCAATGGGAGCAAGTATTTCATTTATACTTCAG